ATCTCAGATCGCCACGCCAATTTTTTTACCGCATTGTAATCACTTCGTACCGCGGATACAGAATAAACTGAGTACCTACCAGACGGTATGAAGTTATGAGGGTAGATTTTGATCTATCTAACTCCTACATGGTTGCCAACCGTAGATTTAGTTTCCTCGTACTTATTTAGCTAGAAATCTCGTAATCTGGCTTTATTTGCCCCCCCCCCCCCCTAGAATCAGTAAATTAAATTATAGGTCAACGGGTCAACGAACCATAGACTGTAAATAAATAAAATGTTTCTTTTGACTGGTTCGGATATTTACGATTTATGCTCCAACATGTTGCCTACAATGAAAAATCATCTTATCTCGTACGAGATGTGTAGTGTCGTACCTCGTACGGAAGACCAGAAATCTCGTATTTGTACGAGAATTCTCGTACGGTTGGCAACCTTGAACTCGTAATCCATAGTTAAGTAAGTCCATTTTTTTCTTAACCTCGAAGATATTAGGAAATGGGTATACAAAAAAATACACCATAATACGCCAACCCCGCTGCAGCACCACCCATATTATAATGGAATCTGGGTAAACCTAGGTAACTAGTAAAATATCTCAGAGCACAATGATAGCACCCCGTCGTACCTATGGACCAACCGCATTCACCACTATTTTGTTCATAAATAACCAATATTGTTTGTGTAATGGTACAAATAAATTAACAAAAAATTTAAATTAATTTCTGAATTATCAGTCATGATAATGAAAAGAACGATTTAACTTTGTGTATTTTAATTGTTTACAATTAAAATACAAGGCTTTATTTACAATTTAACGAGTAATGGTCATTTTCAAGTGCATATATACTTTTTATAAAACCGTAACGTTAGCGCGACTTAGAAGCCGTTACCGTTGGTACTCGCGGTAGCGTTGTGGAACTAAAGATATTTTATTGTGGATTTTAAAAAGTTTTTTTTAGATTTCGTTGCAATGCAAGGTTAAACGCTACAATAACTTCATCTATGTTACTATTAATGTTTTCTTCTAAGGAATTTTCAATAGCTAACAAATTATCTTTGACCAAAGTTGAACGACTATTACTCTGAAACTAACAAATCTATATAGTTTTCCTCTAAAGTTCATGAAAAGCGCTATCTTCATGACTTTCAAGTCAATAGTTTAGCTTTTATAGGGGGGGGGGGGGGGGGGGCGGCGCCCTACTCGAACATAAATTAGCACTTTTAAAGTTCAATATTTCGTAAACTGATCCCTAAATAGAATAGATAATGATGAAAAAAAAATCATCCCCAGGCTACATGTAGGGGAGTTACTCTAAAAAAAATATTTTTCGAAATTTAATTCTACCATTTTGTCGCCGTGATCGATATACATATCTCCACAAAATAACAGCTCTCTAGTGCTAATACTTAGTCTCCAAGCAAAACCGGGGACGGACAGACGGACATAGGAAGCTATAAGGGTTCCTTATCAGGACTACGGAACCCTAAATAATGGTAGTGTGAGGTCAAAACCTCTCTCTTTTATTTTGGCTAACAGTGAAAGTATGAAATCAGACATGTACTCACGGAATTTCTTTTTAAGGTCTTAAGAAATTTAACTTTCGTGAACGTCTGGCATCTCATTGGTGCGTGAAGAAAGAATAGATTTTTCCAAAATGTTCCCACCTAGGCTCCATAGGTGGGAACCAATGGTTAGTGTCTAAAGACAATCATGCCATTTTCATGTACGGTAAATCATGAACACCCGATGCCACTTACCCTGAAAGAAGAAAACAAGCTCTCAGTGGCGGAATGGAATATCCTTCGTAAAAAACTGGGCACAACCCAACGGACACTGCTGAAGAGTCTCAAAACCAAACAGAAGATAGGGGACCTAGTACCTGAGCTGAGTTAAGCTAAGTTAAGAGTCGAAGGAACCCCTCGACCTCACCTCACACACTAACTCGTGACAACGTGACATGATGTCTCACTTTTTCGTGCATGCAGTCGGTGTTCATCGATTTATAAGACATTATCATGTCAGAAACGTATATTTCGACACTGTCAAGGGAATCAAAATTGATAGTGTACTTGCCGTAAACCTAGAACTTCGATCAACAATTCTATAGATAAAGGGTTGCATACAAAATTAAAGCTAAAAACTGTCCTTTAGACTTATGCAGCTGCATTCGATTTCCAATGAACAAAGATAAATGTTTTAAGTTGAAGCTAATAACAACTATATCACAAAGGAATGAGGTTATAAATAGCAAAATGTTATTTCGCCCATACTACTTATTATCTCATAAAACGAACTCTTGTTCCTTTTTTAAATTATATCTGATAATTGGAAAAAACGATGAAAAAAAAGGTGAAAAACTGAAAATGTGAAATCAACCTACACCCACAAATAAATATTTTTACCAGTCATTGGCCAGCGAGTTACTTCGTTTTGTAATAATCGATTTAATTTAAAATAAGATCTCACGCCTCAGGTGAGGCTATATTTACCGAGACGGTTTGAAACGCGCTGACCCGTTATTGTCGATCGAAGACCTAGAACTATGAAATTTGGTGGTAATCGACCACGGCTTGGTAGTATCTTAATCTATACTTCTATACTTATAATAAATCTGTAGAGATGTCAATTCTGTACATGAAATATATTTTTAAAATAACTATCAGGGGGTGATTAGTGATCGATACTGATGCCAAAAATGCAATCAGTAAAATTTTTGTCTGTCTGTCTGTCTGTGTGTATGTTCCTTATAGAAACAAAAACTACTCAACAGATTTTAACGAAACTTGGTACAATTATTCTTCATACTCCTGGGCAGGTTGTAGTATACTTTTCATCACGCTACAATCAATAGCAGCAGAGTAGTGAAGGGAAATGTTGGGAAAACGGGAGAAGTTACTCCATTTTTTAAGCTTCCGTCGCGGGTGCAGCCTTAATGGTTAAAGTTACATAGAAATCATGTATGACGGAAATATTCTACATAAAATTGTCTAAAAAATATCCCGCAACAGCATATGTCTATCTTTTATGGTTGACTCACAATAACACGTGTAATTATATAAATAAAGTCATTATTTATAGCACAGGCCTGAGAACAAAAACTATAGTTTACACTACAGCTCTACACCGAAGCGAAGCGAGGGCGGGCCACTAGTTATTAATATTTGCATAAATCATACAATAAATGCCCGTGATTGGAACCCAGTGCATTTCGAGCAGGCATGGAGCGCTACCGTCGGCAACAGGGATCCAAATTTCAACGGACAGGCTTGTTTTTTGTGGTTTGTATTGTTGTAATTGTTGTATTATTATGCTTTTGTGACTATATCTATAACAGGGGCAGGGCAGACTCGCTGCAAAACAGAACAAAAAGTAATTGTATACTGCCAACTCACAAGCGCGGCACCCTCGTCTTTAGAAGCTGGTTCAAAAGAAAAGCCCGCTTCACCCCGCCGGCTCGACGCACCCATCGCGCCGTTTGCTTTTCGCCTCAAAGTGGCTCCTACAGACCCCTTAGTTAGTAGATGCTGTCCAAATGACGCAATTTACGCGTCTACTACTACACTATAAAGTATGGCGTGGTGTGAATGTGAACTTGTTCAAGTAAATGTATGTGCGTAATATAGTAGGTACTAAGATATTAAAATAATAAAACCAAAGTATATTTTTTTTTACTACTATAATGTATGATCTAACTGAGTTCCGATAGTGTCTAAATTACGTACAAATATTATAAAATAAATCTCAATATTTGATACAACTGTGGCGTCCGCACTATATTTATTGGACAATATGCTGATGAAGAAGTGCTTCCACTTTGCCGCGTAGGTCCAGAGCCTTAGTACAACAATTTTCAGGAAATGTTGCGCTGCTCGTTGTTCCAGGGCAAAATGACGAAGGCAAACATTTGATTCCCCAGTTTTTTTTTAACTTGGTTTCCCAAGATTGTTGATTACCCTGACCTCTTTTAAAATGCTATCAAATATTTTAGAAAAAATGTTTTATTATTTATTATTTATTTATTTTTTTCTAGGTAAATAGGGAGATTGGGCCATGACCCACCACGCGGACCCAGCGCGGATTGGCGGGTGCTAACGACTGCAGATGCAGCCGGGACCAACGGCTTAACGTGCCTTCCGGAGCACGGAGGAACTCGAGATAGAAGAATTTTGGTCACCCATCCATAATGACCGCTGCGAAAGTTGTGTAACTTCAACGATCGCAGCCGAACGCGCTAACCACCAGCGCCATGGAGCTCCTATAAGCTATAATATGCTATAATAGTGTAGCGTAGTCTGAACGCACCTTTAGCTTCGTACCGTACATACCGTACGCAAGTGTAACGACTAGCACAAACGGTGATTTTTTTTAATTTAACCAGTAAGTGCAGAAGGCACCGTGGTTTTTGTTTAGTCATAAGAAGCTTGTGTGTCCGTGGATTTTTTAAATTCTGTAAGTGGTCTTCTATGATCATGAAATCTCACGATGTCATAGTTAGTCCACCTTTGATGAGTTAAATTCTTAACACAAGCAAATATCGTAATCCAGGAATTCCAGGATAGACTTTTCATTTCCGAATTTAAATTGGCAGATTGGGACCCGAAGTACTTACGTACTAACTACTGAGCCCGTCTAGTTTAAATAGGCAATAAATGAGCAAACCTGTGACAGTATGAAAGGTATATCGAGTCTATTAAGAAGCACAATTTGTGAACATGTGACCAGTTAATTAAAAACATTTGATCAAGACATTGTTTTATTATGAGTTGACCTATAGTAGTTCTGTTATGTTGCACAAACTAAAATATTTTTCATGTTAAAATATACTCATGAAGCAAGAAGCTTCATGCTTCCGGAAATGTTATATAGTAAATTGTTGCCGTTTCAATGTTTATCATTCAGTAATATTAACGCAGATTATAGGGTTCAGCATGGTGATTTCGCTGCTTCTACCTATCTACTTATATAGTTCCATTGGTAATGGTCTGTTGTCGTCACAGCTTGGTTTATCATGTTATCACGATGTTGAGATAATATTGACATTTAAATAGAATGTCCTGCGAGGACTGAAGGGTGATTGTGAAACCACCGCGCAGGCTTTCCACGCACCCTCCCGACGTTGGGCGGAAAACGTACCCACTGGGTAGCCAGTAGCGCACTGCCCGCTCCAACCGTCACACCCATCGATCCACGTAACGCGTCGCAGAATTCGTGCATCGTGTCATCACTTTGTTAAACATCAATCAACATTTTGTTAAACGCAGTGTAGAATCAGTGTTGATATCACAATGTCCTTCGACAACGATGAGCTGCGCGACGAGTAAGTACACGTAACATTGATATGTATTTCGATTCATAACCGTACGGATGTGGATCATAGTGCCACATTAATTACCTCGGCATTATATACGAGCCGTGTTCGCATTAATTGTAAAGTCTTGTGTCGAATAGTTTCTGCTAACTGTATCTATTTAGGTAGTTAATTATTAAAAGATACCTATTTACATTTCGGTAGGTAAACCAATCTGAAGGGTATCTCTGATAGGGTTTTTTGCAGCCGCCGTATCTTTCCTTTTCTCAAGTGGAAACTTGTGAACGTTTTGGATATCAAAGTTTTCCTTTAATGCCCAGGAAAAACTTTTCAGTCGACACCATTTGTTGCTTTAGTAAACAACGATCTGACCCATTAATCAAAAGTAACTTGATACAACCTCCCTTATATCGTTAACCTACTTTTTTATACTGTATTACTTCCGTGTGTCTACGTTACGTAGGCAAGTAAACAATTAAGCTTTTATGTAATATTTATGCAACGAATCACTATGGGGATACTTTTTGAAATTTGAATGTAATGGAAAGAGTTTATCTAACATCATACAGGTAGATATACCTTTTCAGTAATTAATGACTGTAAAAAAGTTTACTATGTTTGTGATATCTTTGATTACTAATTCGAAATAGGATCACTAATTGTTATATTTTTTTTACGCTCCAGGAATATGATTTGTGTCACATGAAATGCTTGTCTAATTGAAAATTCATTTTCCATTTTATAACGAAACATGAAGAAACTATGAGTCTGTTTATTAAGATTTCAGAGGAGGAAAGTCAACAGTGTAAACGTAGGCAGGTAGGTACCTACTTCACAAACACCATTTCTTTACTACCTATTTGAAATATTTCGTAACACCGACCTTTTCAGTAGTTTAAAATACCAGAGTATGATAAAAGGCTATTTGTACTCACTCCCTTACCTATATACCTACAGTAGTTTTCACAGTTTCCTAAAACAATAGCTTATACGAAGATAACCTGTGTTCCGTGGATTGAATTCTCTGTTCGTGCCAGTACCGAAACTTCCATTTGCTAAATGGATTACTAAAGATGCATCAACAGGTATCTATCTATATCTTACTCGTATCGTAACGTCTAGAAATAGGTAATCACATTTGTTGCTACAAAGGATTAGCTTCATGACCGGAAAAAATAATGACAGACAGACAGCAAGTCCATCAGCAGCAACCTTCAAAGTTTTTATAAGTTTAAACGGGTACTTGAACAGGGGATAGAAACACGCTGAGCTCGTTATAAGGGTTCCGTACTCAAAATGTGAAAAACGGTATCCTATTAAAGCATGCAGCAGCTTCAAATGGCAGGAGTCAATCACATACAATGAAACACAGGATTTGCGATATTTCTTATATTTTCTTCTATATATTACAACATAAGTATGTTTTCTATTTTACTTGATTTTACACCTGTTTCCAGAATGCCGTCTCTCGAATTGAGACAAAAAGCATCCGTGTTCTTCAAGTTTGAATCTCACTTTATTGTTTTATATCTGAATGCCAGCCCTTGGCAATAAATAAGCAAAATAAATGGTAACCCTGCATGCGTACATGATGTTTTGGTTTTGTGTTCATCATAAAGTTTTCTTTTTTAAATTTTCCCAGGATTAATGTTACTGCGGTAGGTCGCTATCTAGGGGGTCTATAATAGCGACATTCGTACGAATATCTAATAAATATGCTTCTTTGATAAACTCTTAAATTTGAAACATATGAAATTATATCTGTAATTTAATAATAATAATAATAATAAATATTTCCAACACTCACACCAATTAGCCTAGCCCCAAAGTAAGCACTATAAGGCTTGTGTTATGGGATGCTAGGGTAACGGATAGAATACATATACTGTACACATATAAGTATATTTATATAGAAATAGATATTAAACATCCATGACTGGAGTACAAATGCTCGTATTCATCACACAAACATCTGGCCCCACCGGGATTCGAACCCGAGACCTCTCGAGTCGGCGACACCATGAAACCCGGCGTACAAACCACTCGGCCACGGAGGTCGTCAGTCAATTTAGGTAATACTAGCGGACCCGACAGACGTTGTCCTGTCTACACGTCTTTGTGAATCTAAACCATTCTCAGATCCCCTTGAACACACACAAAAAATTTCATCAAAATCGGTCCAGTCGTTTAAGAGAAGTTCAGTGACATACACACTCACAGAAGAATTATATATATAAAGATTACACGTTCTAATTAGACATAGTCCGTGAGGTATAGGAATGCTTCTTTTCTTTTAATAAAAATCGGTAGTTAGGGAGTCGTGTTATAAAAGCGTGTTATTGCAACCCCCCTAGAATTAGTAAATAATTGCTCTCTGATGCTGCACCGCTTAGAGGAAAAGTTGCCAGAATTTTCAGCAGTCTTTATATTTGGGTAGAGATCGGCATCGTAAACTTAAGTGAATGCATAGCAGCCAGGGGTAGAAATTTGCCTTTTCTTTTATTTTGTAAATTTTTAAAAGATTTTTCAATATGAAGTGTGCGATTTGGGGGTCCTAAGGGCCTAAGTCCCTTAGGGCCGCGCCTGGATTATCGCCTAAAAGAAGAAAAGGATAAATTTGTATAATGAGCGTAATAACAATAAGTACATGTAGGTACACTGCACTTTTTATAAGTACGTAATGAATGTTGAGGAAGCGAAAAAAAGATATAAGTACCTGCCGTTGTAAGTGGAGATAAATTGTCTCTGATTAGGTATACCTCTGGCAAACAGGCATGATGACGTGATCATGAGTAAATACCTACAAAAGTAAGAACTTGTGAATATGAATCTTCTTGGGTAGATTTTAATTATGTTGGTCTTCGAAAATTATTCATGTAATAAAATCTTAAACCATATTTGATAATTAAATATAAAATAATTAATTTAACAGAAAATGTTTCAGGTTTTTATTAAGAAATATATTATTTGTCAGGTTACTTGTATTTAAAAGTAAAACAATAAAAAACGATGTTGTGAACAACGTGAAGAAGCCAATAAAACAATGGAGCAAAACATTAAACAAAATCAATATGTATTGGTTTAATTGATTTGCTGTTCTATAATAAAATTTCAGGAATTATAAAACCTACATTGTCTACTGACTTCAAAGTAAAGGTTTCACAGGGGATCTCAAAGCGTAGCGAATATTGTGGGTCCTTGTGACATTTGGTAGCTTTCTCTTTTAACAATATTATGTGGCCTTCGTGGGTTTGTAAAATCCAACGTTTCCAATATTTCTTTTTATATTGCCAATACAGTTATTCTGCCGAATAAAAGGTATTGTTATCAATGCCGCAGTTTTGCGTAACAGATGAAGGCCATTTTACGAAATAATAATTTCCGCACGAATAGGATCGGTCGCGAGGAGAGAGTACCGACAGTAGCACGGAACTCACCACCAAAATGATATTTTACAATAATATTCTATGTGCCGGTCTCAAGTTTCGCAAAACTATGCGTGTTAGTAGAATAAACCTAGTCACGGTAGGCAAGCGCGAGCGATACTTGTAAGTCTAGACAAGTGTCTGCTCTTTACGCTACTACTGATCACTGAATGCGGAAGGAAAAATAGGTATTTTGATGACATAATATGCGACGGTCGAGTTTCTCGGAAGAGCTTCTTGATTAGTCCACGGTTCCCAACTTAGGGGTTTTACCCCCAGATTTAGGGGCTAGAAGTGTTAAAACGGACTTGACTGTGTGGCGGTTGTTTCCTAAGACTGTATGGACTAAAGTTAAAGAACAGCTAAATAAGATTTAACAGCCTGTCAGCTCATTTTCGTTTGATTGTCCTTTCGGAAACTGTATTTATTCAATAAAAAAATTTACTGTAACTAAATATGTAACGTTTTAATTTATGAGCAACGAAAGAATTTGGGTAATAAGTAGGTACTTAAAAAATGTATATTTAGGGGATTTTAGGGAAATCTAAAAAATACTTAGGGGAAAATTTTGGTAAGAGTTGGTAACACTGGATTAGTCACTAAAAGTCGCGACTTCGTTTTTGCGTTATAAACAAACAGTAAGAACCTTCAAAGTTTTCTGAGCGACTCTGAGGCCCAAACACGAATTTTGACAGCTCCGTAATCGTATCGCGTCGTCAGTTTCTATAAAAAATTAAGCAGCGCCTCTGCCAGATGTAATACAATACATACAAAATTATACGATGGCGATTGGAGCCTCTGTTATTGGTAGCCCAAACGGAAGAAGAATCATAGATGAATGTCATTGTGTATAAAACGAGCCTGAGAACAAAAACTGTAGTCTACACTTCAGCTCTACGCCGAAGCGAAACGAGGGCGGGCCACTAGTATGATATAAAGTTTGTACAAAATATGTAAGTAAGAAAGGATCGTAGGTAGTTATACCACTCATAACGAAGTATTTACCTACCTTATGATGATGCGTTTTTGCTTTTAGATACTCTGTAATCTTGTAGGGGGTAATAACCACATCATTCCCGTGGCACAGAATATATACACTACGCGAAAAGAAGCGACACTTAAGTATGTGTGCTCGTAAAATCGCCCGCGGCTATGTGTGGGTGTCTGGAGGTGCGCGGGGGCGTTGCGCGGCGCGCGGGGCGTGGAGACGGCAGTCGCCGACTGCCTCGACCGAAGGGATGGCAGTAGCGAAATAGTAAAATAATAGCGTTGCACTGCATTGCAGCGTTGCCAGATCAGGGGATTTCCCCCTAGATTTAGGGGTATTTCGTCGGGCTCAGGGGAGAAACAGGGGGAAAAATTTTTTAGGGGATTTTTTAGGGGTTTTTCAAAAAAACGCGAATTATTTTTGAGAAAGTTATTCTTTTCGATAATTTGAAAGAATAAAGTCATTTGCATAACGAACCGAACGAATCGTCAGATATTAAGAAGTCGGGTGGTCGCGGTCGCGGGTTAAACTTGATTGAATCACTTGACTGCTGCGCCACGGAGATATGATGAACAAATATTGGCAGAGGGAACCCC